GTCGTGGCCCCATAAGGAGCTCCAGCGAAGGCACTTGCGGGGGTGCCCGCATGCGGTTCCCCCACCCAGGGCAGCGCTTCGCTGCCCCATAGGGAGCTCCACCGAAGGCACCAGTGGAGATGCCCGCATGCGGTTCCCCAACCCAGGGCAGCGTTTCGTGGCCCCATAGGGAGCTCCACCGAAGGCCCCAGTAGGGTTGCCCGCATGCGGTTCCCCCACCCAGGGCAGCGGTTCGCAGCCCCATAGGGAGCTCCACCGAAGGCCCCAGTGGGAATGCCCGCATACGGTCCCCCCATTCAGGGCAGCGCTAGCGCTTCATAGCCCCATAGGGAGCTCCACCGAAGGCCCCAATGGAGGTGCCCGCATGCGGTTCCCCAACCCAGGGCAGCGTTTCGTAGCCCCATAGGGAGCTCCACCGAAGGCCCCAGTGGGGGTGCCCGCATGCGGTTCCCCTGCCCAGGGCAGCGCTTCGCAGCCTCATAGGGAGCTCCACCGACGGCCTCGATGGGGGTGCCCGCATGCGGTTCCCCCACCCAGGGCAGCGTTTCGTTGCTTCATCGGGAGCTCCACCGAAGGCCCCTGTGGGGTGCCCGCATGCGGTTCCCCCACCCATGGCAGCGCTTCGTAGCCCCATAGGGAGCTCCACCGAAGGCACCAGTGGGGGTGCCCGCATGCGGTTCCCCCACCCAGGGCAGCGTTTACAGGGAGCTCCAGCGAAGGCCCCAGTGGGGGTGCCCGCATGCGGTTCTCCCAACCAGGGCAGCGTTTCGTGGCCCCATGGGGAGCTCCAGCGAAGGCCCCAGTGGGGGTGCCCGCATGCGAATCTCCCAACCAGGGCAGCGTTTCGTGGCACCATAGGGAACTCCACCGACGGCCCCAGTGGGGGTGCCCGCATGCGGTTCCCCCACCCAGGGCAGCGCTTGGTGGCACCATAGGGTGCTCCACCGAAGGCCCCAGTGGGGGTGCCCGCATGCGGTTCTCCCAACCAGGGCAGCCTTTCGTGGCCCCTTAGGGAGCTCCAGCGAAGGCCCCAGTGGGGGTGCCCGCGTGCGGTTCCCCCACCCAGAGCCGCGCTTCGTAGCACCATGGGGAGCTCCAGCAAAGGCCCCAGTGGGGGTGCCCGCATGCGGTGCCCCCACCCAGGGCAGCGCTTCGTGGCCCCATAGGGAGCTCCACCGAAAGCCCCAGTGGGGGTGCCCGCATGCGGTCCCCGCACCCAGGGCAGCGTTTCGTAGCCCAATGGGGAGCTCCACCGAAGGCCCCAGTGGGGGTGTTCGCACGCGTCTCCCCTACCCAGGGCAGCGCTTCGTGGCCCCATAGGGAGCTCCACCGAAGGCCTCAATCGAGGTGTTCGCATGCGTCTCCCCCACCCAAGACAGCGTTTCGTGGCCCCATAGGGAGCTCCAGCGAAGGCGCCAGAGGCGCAGTTCGCATGCATCTCGCCCACCCATGACAGCGCTTCGTGGCCCCATATGGAGCTCCAGCGAAGGTCCCAATGGCGCAGTTCGCATGCGTCTCCCTTGCCCAGGGCAGCGCTTCGTGGCCCCACAGGGAGCTATACCGAAGGCCCCAGTGGCGGTGTCCACATGCGTCCGCGCCACCAAATTCGGCGCACCCCTCACAAGTTTCGTGGCCCCATAGGAGCTTCACCGAAACCGGTACCCACAATGCGGTATTCGCAACTGCACAGGGTTGGGTCTTTTCGTCAGGCTAATTTTTTGGGAGGGTAGGGGGACATGCCCGACCTATCCATAAGCAGGATGCCGTATTCTCACTTGTAAACAATGCAGGCGGCGGCGGATGAGGGGGAGGTACGTGGGCGGGGCACGGTGCCCTATGCAGCCCCCGACCACCAATGTACGCACACCGTACATTCCTGCAGTGGTAGAACCAACCGTTGCCAAACATACGCGTCGCATCACAACCACGGCGCCGCAAGCTCAGCGCTGCATGCAGCCGGTGCTGTGTGAGCGCCGCTTCGGCGAGGAAGGCTGTCAGTCATTTCTCGCTGGCGTGCTGTGGCGGCACCTCCACCGCGCGACTTCTCACAAGTCTCACGGTAGCATGCGGGAGCGCGGGTGGGTGAGAGACCGTGTTTTGTCATTTCAGCGCACGCGTGTGCGCGTTTGATGGCGAGGAGGATGGGGAGGGACAGGAGGAAGAAAGTGCCCTGGAAGGGGTCGGTTCGCCGCGCAGCACGGGACCGACAGCGCTCAGGACGGTCCCGCCGACCGCGGGCTTCCCAGGAGCGTTCTCCAGAAGGGCAGCGCCGACCCGCCCGGGTCCGAGGCGCACCGCCGCACAAATGCCGAGCCCACTGGGGCGCACACGCCGTAAAAGTTCGGGCAGGGACCGCAACCTCCGGGAACCACACCAATACGGCGAGCGGGAGAGGAGAGGAGGGCGAAGGAGGAAGCAGGGACCAGGGCGAGTGGCGGTGATCTGCGCGCAGCAGCCCGTGGGCCCCGATTACGCGAGGGGCCTCTGTGGCGACCGTCGG